CTACAGATAAAATAGGCCTTCGCTGATTACAAGAGATCTTTGAACCATATTCTAAGCGCTATATAACTGGTGCTAAGCGGTTGCTTATTCTTGACAGCCATAATAGTTATCTAACTGCGGAATTTGATAATTTCTGCAAGTTAAATGCAATCATTTGTCTCTGTATACCTGCGCATGCTTCACAGCTTCTTCAACTGCTTGATATAGGTGTATTTAGACCATTTAAAGGCGAGTACGGAAAGCTTCTTGAAGAGCGAATACGCTCTGGTAATAATTATATTGATAAAGAGAACTTTCTATCTCTATATCCAGATACACGCGCTAAAGCATTTACCTCAGCGAATATCTATAGTGGATTCGCAGGAACAGGGCTTAAGCCATTTAATCAAGAACACGTTCTTTCTAAGCTTACTTTTCAACTACGTACACCAACACCACCATCAACAGAAAGCTCGATTTTCTCTGCATTTCAGACTCCGCAGAGTACTCGTCAGCTAGACCAGAAAGTACGCAGTCTACAGAACAGTCTTAGTGCGAAATAAAAGCTTTCTAGCAGTCCTATTACTCATCTTTATTATCTTGAAAAGGCTGCGCAAATGGCTATACATACCAACCTTCTTTTATAGCAAGAAATTAAATCTTTACGAGCTGAAAATGAGCGGAAATATAAGAAAAAAGCAAAAAGGCGTGCTAAACTAGGTAATGATCTATTTTTATCTATACAGGAGGGCCACAATCGGGTTCAGCAGCTTAATATGCAGCTTGGTGAGCAATCTGAGCAGTCTACTTCTATACCTCGACGACGAGCTCCGCAACGTTGCAGTGGCTGTAGGATAGTGGGTCATACAATCCGGAATTGCCCTAGTAAATAGCTATCATTTCATATATTTAGTTAGTTAAATTTAATGGTGTTGGCAGCTGAATAGCTTCAAATAGTGGGAGTCGCAGTAAACATTCGTCGCTCGGTGGTTGATTACGTTATACTTTACTAGAGAAAAATAGATATTAATAAATAAATTTATTCTATTAAAAATAATTATAGAATAAGTAATAGTAATAAAACTATTTTATAGTAATAATATTTTCTTTATATAGTCTAAGAAATATTCTATGATTAATTAAATAATTTAAGAAATAAATCAATATAATTATAAGTATATAGACCCCTATTTTAAATAAAAACTGATTAACAGTTTATTAAAACTTTTATAAAAAAAACTAAAATTTTTAAAAGTAATTATAAAAATTATATTATTATTATTAATACTACTAGTATAATTTTCTTTTAAAAGTAGAGTAATATTATTCTCTAAAGAATTAATATTAAAAATAACTATAGAAGACTTCTCTATAGAGATAATAATTATAAAATATTTATTATTAATTTTATTAAACTCTATAATTATATTCTTATCTTTAAATAGAGTTTTAAACTTAGAGAAAAAAATAAAAATAAATCTATTTTGAATAATAATTTTACTATTACTATTAGTAAAAATATAAATAAGAGTAGTAATATATATCTAATATTTCTAGAGTTAATAGATTTTCTATCTATAATTTTAAAAGTTTTATAAATAGAATATTTACTATTTTTCTTAGTAGTAATATAGTTTAAATATATACTACTATATAGAGTAATACTATTTAAAAAAAGACTATATACTCTAAATATATATAGCTATTTTTTATATATTTTCTATATAGAGTAGACACTATAAAACTATATTAATAAAAAATATAGATATTTTTATTATTTTTATTATTTAATTTAATTATATAATTATTCTAGTCTAAGATACTACTATAGATTAGACTAAAAATATAAATAGTTATTTTATCTATAGTAAAAAGAGTCTCCAGCTCTATATCTATTAACTATTATTATAGAAAAGAGAAAGAGATTTACTTTTTTTTAAATATATAATAATATTCTTATATTAAATTTTAATAGAGATAATAAACTTCTCTAGAGAATAGTTAATATTAATATAAACTATAGACTATATAGATCTCTTACTCTTAATATTAATTATTAATATATTAAAAATAAAAACTATTACTAGATAATTAATAAGATCTTACTCAAGACAGTAGTAAAGTAAAGAAAAATAAGTCTTAATATAAAAGAAATAGATATAAAATATAGAGTCAACTAACTATAGGTATACTAATAAAAAAAGATAGAAGAAAAAATAAAAAGATAATTTATAAATAGTTATAGAAACTATTTATAGATTCTAATAATAGATATTTTAATAATATTACTATTAATAATAATAGTCTATAGATAATATAATATCTCTATAGTCTATTCTATATTATAATACTATCTACAGAATAATATACTCTATAAATAGATACTGAAATGTATATACTAAAATAGATAAATATAAAACTATTTTACTATATAAATAATAATATTATATAATTCTATCTATAGATAGTATTATCTTACGAGAATTAATAAATTTAGGAATATTTTATTACTAAGTAGAGAAGAATATAATTGTAGCTATACTATAGAGCTACTATAAGAAGAACTATCTTACAGTAGTTCTCGCTGATTAGTAGAGATATTCTGTATTCTATACTATAGGCTAAACCCTATACTGCTCAACTACTGTGTGTATATAAAGAATATAGCAACCTATATCTTATGTAGGAGTCAGGTAACTTTTTACTTCTTATAGTACCCGCTACTTTTAATTATAATATAAATTACTTTATTAGTATAAATATTAATTTATATCTATACTAATTTTATTTCTTAATAGTAATTATTGTAGATTTTCTAATATTTAGTTATTCTATAATTTTTACTAAAATTAGTATAGACTTATTTCTTTAACTATTTAGAAATAATAATAGAATAATTTTTTTTTAATATAATATATTATTTTTTATTTATTAGTATTTTTATATAGCTCTGGTAAATTTTATTTAATAATAATTATTTTTTTTATCTTAGTAACTTCTTTCTATATAAGACTTTATTTATTTTTAAAGTATTAGTCTACTTATTATAGGTATTTATCTATAGTATTATTCTTAAAATAACTATTATATTTAGAAATTTATTTAAGATTAGAGATTTTCTAATAGAGATATTTATTTATTATTATTACTATTTTATCTATTAATATAGTCTTTCTATAGTTATAGTTAGAGTAGTACTATTAGAGATATTTATTAATAGAGAAAATTATAGAACTATAGTTAGTATAATCTATATATTACTATATATTATTTAAATTTATTTATAATTTATTAAACTATTTTTTCTACTATTTACTATATTGTAAATATAATTATTTATTATACTATAACTTCTATAACTTATATTTATTATTTTATAGATTTTATTTATTTTATTTATTTTTTTATTAATATCTATAATATTTTAAAAATTACTATAGCTATTTTATTACTAATAGTTTCTTTTATCTACTTAAGTAGCTATAGAAGATTTAGTGATTATAGAGATTACTATTATTATTTAATTATTTTTTTAGAATTTTTAGATATAGTAAATTTTATTATTTTTTATTAAATTATTTAATTAATAGAGATCTCTTTTCTCAGTTATATATTACTTTTTATAGATAGCTTAACTAATTATATTATTTAACTCTTTAAAATCTATTATATTTTACTATAATCTATAGACTCTAACTGAGTATTATAAAGCTATTTTTAACAGAAAAAAATCTGTCTCCGAGTTTAGATATACTATCAGATATAATTAAAAATAGCAGAATACTATAAAAAGTAAAGAGTTATCTGACTTTTATATAAGATAGAGATTGCTATCTTTCTTTTATATATACAGTAGCCGAGCAGTATAGGGTTTAACCTATAGTGTTGAATATAGAATGTCTCTACTGATTAGCAAGGACTACAGTAAGGTAGTCCTACTTGTAGTAGCTCTATAGTGTAGATATAATTATATAATCATTTTAGTTATATATCTTAAATTATATTCTTCTAATAAAAATCTGTTTAGATATAATCTAGCTATTACTCAGTAAAAGTAAAATAGTAATATAGATTAGAAAATTAAGAAGTTACTTAATAGAAGAATATATATAATTAAATAAAGAATAAAAAAATAACTATAGCTAAATATCTAGTCAAGTAAATAAAATTTAATAATAAATATAATAGATAGTATCTTCTCAGTTAAATATTAAATATAAAAAATCTAATTAAAGAATTTAAAATAGAATTTCTAATAGAGTAATAATTTTACTATTTATTTAATTTTATTTATATTATTTACTATTATTTTTTTTATTTTATTTATATTATTTACTATTATTTTTTTTTATTTTATTTATATTTCTTATTTACTCTATTATTTCTTTTTCTAATCTCCTCTGTTTTTTATTTATACTGTTACTTTTCTCTATTATTTACTATTATTTTTACTATTACTTTTACTCTACTATTTCTTTTTTCTATTTTTATCTTATATTCCAATCTCGGCTTTATCTTATATTTCTACTATCTTATTCTTTCTAGTAGGCCTAGGGATGGTGCGGTCCCGGTCCTAATATTTAGGGCTGGTACCGGACCTTGCGGTCTTTGGTCTTTTCTTATATTGCTGAGAACTGTACTATAATTCTCTATAGTCCTAAGCAATCTTTATTCCAGGGGACTATTATTGTATAACCTTATCAAGATCTTCTATTTTTAGCTATATAAATATAATAATTTATTGCAGTAGTTTCTTATAATTATAATAGTATTTAGTATAAATACTATTAGTATTCTATTTATAATACTATTAACTTTTTATTAATTTTCTATTAATTTTCTATTATTTTTTATTAGCTTTCTGATACTTTGTATTAATTTTTTATTTTCTATTTAGTTTCTATTCAGTTTATAGAGTAATAATACTAAGAATATAATAAATATATAATAATAGAGAAGAAAATACTATGATTACAAATCAATTCGGGGGAACATCAAAATCAACACCCAATCTAAACACGTCATTTTAACGCGTCAATCGATCGAGAAAGGCCCCCTGAGGCCTCAGGAACCGCTATGGAGGCCCCAAACCCCCATGGTGGTGGTCTACCGAACGCGTCGAGATGGGCACCCCCGAGCGGGATACCACCACCACCGTCACCACCATCACCAACACCGATATATCGAGGGGGCCCTAGGACCCTAGATATACCCATAGATCTGGGACAGATAAGCTACAGCGAATCTAGCAGGGCCCCAAGCAGGGCCTCTAGCAGAACCAGCTCCAGAAGCAGCCGGAGCACACAGAGCGTATATGGCATTCGGAAGCGA